CACAAAATTTGGTGTAAAATCTGTAAGAAATTGACATCCCGCTGTCAGTCATCCAAATTTCTGACCTATTTGCTCAGTGGTAGTATGACATTAAAAGTACATATCGAATACTATATGGGTAAGGAATATCGCGTGATTCCGTTTTAAAATTGGCGCTTAAAATGTGCTAGAAACTGCTCTTATTTATCGGCTGCAAATAAATTTGATTCAAATCAATTTTTCATCGATTCCGTCACCAGATTTTTTTTTCCTCCAAATGCACACCTGTTCTTTCAAAGACTATTGAATGACCATGTTCAATGAATTCAGATGAACCTTTACCCTTGCTAGTTCATCCTCCTAATAAGAACGAAAATGCAATAGAAATGAATCTAGATCCTGAAAGGATGAAATTTTATGGATATCTCATCCTTACAAGTACATGGATTATCTTCATAATTTCCATGAACACATTCTTTGAAGCATGGAAATTCCTTCTACATCCATTATCACAAACAGAGTCAATGATTGATTTGTATACATATCTATATAAAGGGTTTACAGTTCTAGATGATTATGTTTTAAAAATTTGGTGTATCTATGTAGTAATTTGGTGGTGGGCAATCATATCATGGTGTGGAATGAAATTATTTCGTCATTCCAAAGGATTACAAACTTGATACTACCCTTAGCCGTCTTCTCCACGTGCTTTAGTCCATTCAGATGACCCAGTCTGTCTTCCTATTGGGATTTGTGAAGATGGTGTTGCCGTTGTTCGTTGCTTGATACGTTCTTGATTTTGACGTAATATAATATCATTGTATACTTTCATAAGAGCATCACGTTCATTGTTTAATAGTTGATATTGGATTTTATAATAAGCTTCCTGTTTCTTACTGTTATAGAATTTAATTAATTTATTTAATTTTTTAACGTCAGTAACAGTAACTTTCGGAATCTGCTTTTCTTCAGTTATGTATTTCTTACTCAAATCAATAATATAAGTTTGATTAAATCCAATAACAAAACTCATTTTCTTTCCCCAATTATTACAATATAACAAAGGCTCATCAAATACAGCTTCACAAGGATCTAAATGTACCCATCTTTTCAAACCATATGAATAATATTCACACCAAACATGATCTTCATGATTCCAAACATATCTAATTCTATCTTTATCTTCTCCAATCAATGCTTGTAAAATCAACAAGAAACAATTCACCCATTCACCACATCTACCCTCTCTTGTTCGTAACAACGACACAGGATTATTAATTCTCGAAAAATGAAGATTGGCTCCACATTGAAAACATTGATAATATTCAATAATACTAACATTGTTAGGGTTAGGATCAGCAGGGTTGAATCTTGATGCACCTTTATCATGAACATTGTTGTCATTCCCACAAGTAGTACACAGCGGCTTGTTGACCCATTTAAAGAATTTATGTTTAAAATATTGAAGTAATTCTTTAACTACAAAATCATCATATTGAAGATCTGGATTTGTATTTGCTTGTTCTAGTTTATCCACATTGGCGTATATTTCTGCCAAATCAATAGTATCCAAAACAGCATTGATTGAACTTTCATCTTTATATTTCTCAATACAATTTGCATTGTTATGAATGGCATTAAGGACAGGTAGATTAATTAATGTTCTAAATTCACGTTCAGGAATATGGTTTGTTTCAAGATCCTTGGTTATCTTCTGTTTAGTTGATGCTGATATTAATCTATCGGCAAGATCAGAATAATCAATTGAAGTCATTTTGAAGAAGGTCTAGCACAATCTACAGGACCACCTATAAGATAGGGAGTATTTGCTGACTTATTCGGCAAGGCTAAAATGATTCGAGTTTTTCCTTTCGGGAACAATTGGGGAAAAAAAGTCCGATACGCTTTGAAAAATTTCAGGGGACGATTTTCAGATTCAAAGGGTTCCGTCAAGTAAGATGAATTGGACTCCCATTATTACAAGAGTCCTCCGATTGAGGACACAAAGTTCATTCTTATCATTCACAAGACTTCAATCAACTCTATCGCCTACTGAACCCTTAAAAATCGCATTCTTTGGCAGTGATGAATTCAGCGTTGCCAGTCTCAATAAACTCCATCAATTACAACAACAACAACCCACAAAGATCGATTCTATTCATGTTATAACTAGAAGCATAAAACCAAAAGGAAGAGGGCTCAAAATATACGCCGACTTACCAATTGGGACATTCTCCACTGATATTGGCATACCCATATTACGAGCAGACACATCAACAGAAATCCTAGATACCCTCAAACAACATGAGTTTTCAATTGCAATTGCTGTTTCATATGGGAAATTAATACCCGGGAAGTTTATCAAAAGTTGTAAATATGGCGGATTGAACGTTCATCCGTCCGTATTGCCTAAATATTCCGGCTCGGCTCCACTTCAATATGCCCTCATTAACGACGACCAATTTACAGGATGTACTGTACAAACATTACATCCAAGCAAATTTGATCATGGTGATATAATTTTACAAAAAGGAGAGGTTCCAATCCGCGATGAAGATAATTATATTAGTTTGAGAGACAGATTAGGTGAAATTGGAGGGGAACTATTAGCGCAGACTATTAATCAAGGATTATATCTCAAACCAGCTCATCTTCATGAAAATCTCAACCACAGTGAATTTTCACTCGCATCAAAGATTCCTAGTTCTAAGAGTCAAGCATTATGGGATCAATTGCTGACTAGACAGATAAAAAGATTATATGATGCTCTTGGACCTTTATTTACGTTTATTCAAGTGGATATAACAAGAAAGAAGAAACATATTTATGAGAAACAAAGGGTGATTCTTTCTGAAATAAAAGAATTGAAGGAGGATGATTATACCCAAGAGTTAATACAAGATTTGTCTAAGCCAGGAGATTTCACATTGGGAAGACTGGGATTAATCATAAGAGCCAGCGATGGCTATGTTTCAGCAGGAAGAATCACAATGCAAGCTCAACAAGAGGAGAGTCCAGAACGATTCTTGGGGTCATACAATAAGAAAGTTGGAAATACACCCAAACAGTTCTTGGTGCAGGATGTATAAATCTATTAATTTCTTCTGTAAATAACTGTAATAGAAGTTTGAGAAACTACGACGTTCTTGAACAGCCGTCGCAATCAGAAGTAATGAAATGTCATGGACAATCAATACTTATCTAATAAGCCGTGCCTTTAAGGTCGTTCATCTCAATTACATACGCCCCCGTATTAACAGTCCCGGGCGAGCTAATGTGCTGAATTCTAAAACTCTATATCAATTAACACTAAAAATCTTTTCCAGATACGTACGATTTATATATCACTCTGGCATACACTATGCCCATCATACAGGAACTTCACTTGGCGTGGTGTCTTTTGATTCTTCAACATCTTCAGATTCTATAGTGACAGTACCATCCGCATCAACTTTTCCTTTCACTTTTCGAGGTGGTAAAACTTCATTGAAAGCTTGACTCCAGTCTTTATCATTTTCAAACCATTTACAACAAAGCTCATATACATGAGAAGTTGCCAATACATGTCTTCCATTCATATCGATGTATTTCCCAATTGGTAATTTTCCAACTTTTAATCCGAGCTTTTTGGCTTTATTCAAACAAAGTTCTTTATGTCTATTTTTATCCACAATCCCACCTATGATATAAGTATGGTCAGGTAAAAGTTCAGTGATTTCTTCATCTGTATCTGCAGTAAGATATACGAATTTCAGTCTATTCTCATCATTGATCAAATCCTCTACAGACTGTTCCGAATTTAATTCAATGCCCTTCCAGAGTTTGTATTGAGAAACATCTTTATCAAATCTTTCCTTCAAGGTTTTGTTGAAAGATGTAATTTTTAATCCAACATCATACTTACAATGTCTCATTGCCGAATAACAACGTGAAATTTGATTTGACATCGACACGATCTCTCTTCTATTCATCAAATCATCAAAATCACAATCCATGACAAATGTAACACCAGTAGGAATTTGATTCCTAGGCAATCTTGAAGGTTTTTTAGCCTGATGATAATTTTCTTCTTCTTCTTCCGCTTCCTGTTTGTTTCTTTCTTTACGTCTTTGTCGTTGTAACCTTTTCTTTTCCCTTTGAAATTCTCGATATTGCTCTTTGGTTTCTTCCCATTTCTTTTGTTTTAGTTGACGTTTCCATTCACTTTTGGTCATACCTTCCGGTATAACCTCAAATTGTTTTTGTTTTCTACGTGCTTCAATTTCCTCTGCGGAGGGTGGAATTCCTTTCTTCTTCTTATTTGGGACTTCTGTTGACATTGCTTATTCTGTGACGGGTAATCGATGACATCTGGATGAGGTTTCAAATTTTTTTTTTTCAATGGGAATGCTGAAAAAATAAAATCTGCAGCTTAAATTTTTGCTGCAAAATTCGTGTTCTTGAGATAATCAGCACTGGCCCGGGGCAACAACCTAAAATCATGAAATAGAAAATGCTACGAATATCTCTACAGAAATACTTTTCATATTATAAATACATTAAGAACACTAGTAATATAAACCGCAGAAAATTAAAACCTATATAAAATTAAATTGCTGTACACTTGCAAAAACTGACTATTTTTGTTGTTGAATTTCTTCACCTTCACTGATTTCCTTATCATCTTCTTCAGAAATCAAATCTTCTTCAACATCATATTCTTTAATACCAAACTTACCTTCCCAACCATTATCAATCAAATAGTTCTTAAACAAAATATCTTGTTCCATTAAATCATCTTCTTTCAAATGTGGGACAAAGATAAACGTAACCAAAACACCAGCTAAACCACAAATAGCAGCAATGATAAAAGTCCACCTAGGACCTAAATTAAGTTGAATAGGAGTGAAGGTCTTGGTACCAACAACAGCACCAACCTTACCAATTGCAGCACTGATACCATAAGCAGTACCTCTGATTGGAGTAGCATAAGATTCAGATGAAATCAAACCCATACCATCACCTGGACCTAAGTTACCACATGACATCATTAAACCATAAAGAACGATGAACAATGCGGTGATATTTTTGACTTTGTCATATGCTAAGCCGACAATCAATCCAAAGACGATGTATCCTGAGAACCCTAACATAATGGTATATTTTCTACCAATGATATCGTTCAAGTAAGCACCGATCAAGACACCTGGTAAAGCAATTACACCTAATAACAAATTCCATTCGGCAATTGTTTCTAAATCGGTAGGATCCTTAATTACATTAGAAATGATACCAGCTGAGAAAATACCATTAGGGAAAGTAACAAAATCATAAAGGAACCAAGCAACCATTGTACCAATCAATCTTCGCCAATAAAACTTGATTGCTAACCAATATGGAACTCTAGCTTTAATTGCAGACTTGGTATATAATTCAGAAGTAACCATTTTCATTCTAAAATAGAAAACAGAAAGTGGCCAGAAAGCACCAATGGCAAACATAGTTCTCCATAATGCATCAAGATGGTTGCTACCGGTAATTCTATTGACAACCAAAAAGATAATTAAAGCAAATGGACCACCGAAAGATAATGGCAAATTAGTCGCCAAAATGAAAGCACCACCTCTTTTCTTGACAGATTCATTGGCTGCTTCAGAAGCAGTGACGGATGAAGATGGATATTCGGCACCAATACCAAAACCAGTAACACCTCTGAAAATAGTCAACATCCAAAACATACCATTAATAGTAGCACCATGAGAAGCGGCACACATAATAGTACCAAAGATTAAGAAACAAGTAGCAGTGACAATGGACCATTTTCTACCAATATAATCAGAAGTTAACCCAATAACAACTTGACCAAAAATGGTACCTACAAGGGAAGCATTAGAAACTTGAGTAGACATAACAGCAGTATATTCTGTTGGATGTTCAAGAGCGAAAACCTTGTTTAACATAGACATAACATTATTTTGATAACCATCAGAAATTAAGGCAAAACCAGCACAAAGAATCATAAGGGCATCTTTCAATTTGACACCTCCAGCAAGTCTAGCAGCACGTTCTTCGGCATCATATTTGAAGTGACGTTTGGTTCCAGTAGTAGGAGTAGTAGAAACAATTGGTTCAATTTCTACCGTTTGTTCAACCTTTTTGGTATCGTTATCTGATTGCATGGCAATTGTTGTACTTGAGAGAATCCAAAAAGAAAAATCCGAATTGAAAAGGTGGAATATCCTTCTGATTTATATAGTAAGGATGATTCCTCCAGTCAAAGCCTTTAGTTATATTGTTTTTCGTATAATTGGTACTTCCGCTAGTCATTTGATTGTTTAATAGAATCCAATAATGGAGAGTGATTATTATTATTTTTTGGAAACTACTGTAGTACTTGCGCGTGCTAACACAAAACAAAAAAATTATTAACAATGTAGGGTTCAAGGCTTAACCAATTTGGAAATCATCATCGCCCACATGGATACTACAAACGAACATAGTGTAGCTTATCTTTGACATTTCAAATTTAAATAGATACCACGTTGGTTCGTATCAGATGGAAAGGCTTTGCAGTTAAGCGTTGTACAATAGACTTGACACGTTGACAGCCTTGCTATCTTGTGCAAATTTAGTTGTTGCAGAGATTAATCTGATTAACTCAAGATCAAATTCTAGACTTTACCTACAATATCTACGAAATAGAAATAGGCCCCTTCAGAGAAACGAATATAACATTTCAAAAAAAAATATAGACCTTTATCTGTGAAGAGCATGTTTCCAGGATTCACACGTGTCTATCCTTTATGATTGCAGTTAGTCATGTATTCACGTTAAGCATGCAAGACCGGGTTTAGTAAAGGATAGGACATGGGGAGATAGGTAAAAAGACACAGCTTAGGAGAGCGCATCCAAAGTAACAACCTTCAAAAGATGCTGCGATTGTTCATCCACGTGTAAAAACAACAGCACAAGGTTACCTTGAATAGGACCTTATTGTGAATTAAAATCCTTTGTATCGGTATCTAATTTCAATCCTTGAAAATATATTTCTTTTGTCATCACAGGCTTTGTGGTAATATATTTACGAAGTAACTCTAACCGAAGGGCATCTCCGTTCATAAATTTCAAAAAAAAAATGAAACAGTTGCAAAGTAATTTTAACATACCATGTTCGCCTTGATTAGGTAATAAATGGAGAGTAATGAGTCCATGGGGATCGTGATAAATTGGAGTAATCGTGTTGTAATTAATTGCAGCTCCAAATAATTTTGCATTCATTGTTTCAAGGCAAAAAAAATAATGTCTAATTCTTGGGATAAAAAATAATTTGTTTTTGACAGCGCCAAGCCTAATTAGTCTAAAACCTTAAGCGATATACATATTATCATGGGGAACCAAAACTATTGAAGGCACGAATCAATCAGATTCATTAACCTGTTTCATTCTTTGGAACTTTACTGCAATTGAAGTTAAACAAAAGCTTGGGATATAAATTCCGTAGATATATGAATTTTCCCTTGTTGTTTTAAATATCAGGCACGCGCAGGGGCTTTTCCGGAAATAAACAATTCCCAAAATATTCTTTGTTTCTGGAATGGCTCATCCAAACGCCGTTCTCATGTATTAAAAAAAAACTAACAATGGTCCATTATTTTCCGGGTACACGGCGACCGATCCGACTTGCTCTTTCTCACTGAAATTTGTAACTATGTTTATTGTTCAATTTGCTTTGTTGTCTTTTTAGATGACACTCGTGTGGGGCATTTCCTAATAAAGAATGAATGTCCTCGGCATCTCATATCGTTTCAAAGGCTAACTTGAAATGAATGATCATGATAGACAAAGTGAGGAGAAAAGATCAGGCACTGGTAGGTAGGAGGAAAACTAAAATTTGCGACCAATATCCCGAGCGATAGAAGAGATTGTGATGAAGCACTCACAGCTTGTACCTAGATTTATCATCTGACCAATTAGCACAGATTTTTTGCTCAGCGGTGCTAACAATGTTGTTTCCTCTGCATTGGCTAGCAATACATTTGGTCGTGCTATTTTCAAATGGTCTTGTGGCACATAAACAGTAGGTATCTCAGTATGTGCAACTTCATTCTTCAAATCAACTAGCAGCTGTTAACCATCTTGACTGGACTTTATTTTGAATTTTAGTTTTCTAGACGGTTGATTTATTCTGTAGATATGAGTGCCATATTTTACATTTTTTTGTTAAGAAAAACATAATTTACGCTAATTCCTATACATAATATACAGAAATATAACAAAAGAAATTCGAGGAATATCTATCAAGATTGTTTTCTAATTTCATCTTCAGCAACAGCTTGAATATATATTGAAATTAGCTGCTATCAATCACTTGTTGTCACAGGGAAGAATAGGCTTCTTTTATCTTTTTTATCTATCTATTGAAATTTGCAACCAAAAATGAAAATTGATAGTTTCTTACCCTAAAACCAGAAACAAACAATTTTTCTGACTAGCAAGTAAGATAATATCTTATTCCCCAGCTACTTCAAACGCTCCCTCTTTCAATATGGTAAGTGGTTGATCTTGTTGTAGAAAAACTGTCTGAAGCTTTAGAACCCCAAACGGGATGCGTTCTAGTTTACTAGTGCATGTTTTTGGCCAAGATGACGAAGCTGTCTCGTAATCAAATGATTTTTTTGCGAGAATTGGAAGTTTTTCATTTTATTCTTCTTGAGAGATAATAATAATATAGTACAACAGATAATCGGGTTACCTCAAATATTGACCCTTTTGTGAATGAACAACAATATAGTGTCACCTAAAGCTTTAATTACGGCAGAATTCACCGAGAGTATTAAAGGAGCATTAGACTGTACGAAATGTGATATAGAGTGGCCAATACTCAAAGGTGAAAGATTATTAATCAATGTTGAATTATTGCTACCAAAATATTGAATTTTTTTTTCAAAACATAACGTATATTCTCTAGATAACTTACATATTTCTATACATGGCGAATGACAAAAGTTGTTATCCTAGACTTCTTAGCCCCATCGTTATTCTGAAAATAGGACTGATTGGAGAAAAATACACTTACACACTTGAATATGGAATTATATATGTTCCATAATGTGTGGGACTCGAAGTTATACCCTCTAAATAACTCCTCGTATATACCAGCGAATAATGGATTCTATAGTTTTCAGTCAATACGGAGTTCTATCATGTGGGATACATCCCGCATGACTATGGTTAGTAGACATCCGGGGTTAGGGGAAAATGCCCTAACTCAGTGAAAATTGAATTGGTCATCTTGGATACTTCAGCAATGAAACTTTGGAATTAAATCCGATCACTTGGATCGAACCGATAATCGGCCCTCTGTCCAGTTTCTAACTCTTTTCCGTAAATACGTTGTAGATAGGATGTGCCTATTCGCCCGAAAGCTAATCATGACCGAACTGCAAAGTCTCGCCATTTGCCACTTTATATCCGTCGGGGATTAAATATTCCGAATCCGAGTTTATTCTCCCTAAATCAGAAGTACTACGATATTATAACATCGATCGAAGAACAATAAAACTAAAAGCTTGAGGATTAAATTGATAATAAATCTCATGATCCTGATTATCCACGGAACAATAATTTTTCCGAGATTATTTATTTATTTTTTTAATTGCAACCCTCAATTGGATGATTTTATTTTCTATTTTTTCTTTTGATGCGTCACCTCACATTGGCAAAAATCCGATTTCTCCACCGCCGAACTAACCGAACAACAACAAAAATATTTTTTTAATCACAGACAATTAATCCGAACAGGCTGCAAAAAAAAACATTTTTTTTTCAGGTGTGATTGGATGTATATCACTGTACAAGCATGTGTGTTGAGAGATATGTCTAATAACGTAAGTGAAGCTTTGAAGTCGAGTATGCGATTATATGCAACCATGTGAGATATGAGATGTGGGGGAAGATTGCGAAAAACGTGGGCGTAATTTGTAATGAAAAGTTATGTAGTATTAATAATAGTGAATGTTAAATTTCGTCAATTTGAAACGCGTGCTTTCCCTTAGGAGTACAGGATAGATTTGTTTCTATTAGAGTAAGCTCAAGATATTTCACGTTCACTTGGAAGAAAGATACTGCTTGATTTGTAAAACTTTCGTGAGGTATTATTTAGCTTGAGCCAAGAAACCAAATTTGGAAGCGATGGCCCTTATAGATTTTGTGGAGTTTTCTGACAAGAAAAAAAAAACTATATGGTTTGGAGAAGTGGTATCAATATAACCACGTTTTTGATAAGATCATAAATTAGAAAGAATCGAACCATTACATCATGAGTCGTCATCGGAGTTTGGCTGGGGTAAACGACTGTCAAAGGTTAAGTACTTGGATCTACTTTGGATCAAAACCAGGGGATTTTTACGAAGTGGATAAGATTTTAACCGAAACTTTCGGAGTTGAATGTGTAATCGGATCATATCATGTGAATCTTAATTTTTGAACCACATTTCAATAATTTAAGTTTGTTTTCTTATGATTAGACTAAGACTCATATGTCAAACACATACCTTTTCTAATAGTATAATTTCACATTTCGTTGTAAATCTCCAGTTTAACCCCAACCCCCCCATTAATATATGAAACCATGCAGACACATTTGATTCTAATTAGGAATAATGTAGCGAGACCAAAGAAAAAAAAAGAAGCAGAGAATTTTATTAAGCGTTAACACATAGAAGTTACAAGAAAAAATAGAATTTCAATGTGGTCAAATGGACTTACGGGATACGAAGAGCGAGAAGAGAAAGGGAGAGTCTAAAGATTGATGTTGTATTACCAGGTAGGAAATCGTTTGCAGTGTAATTCGTACCGAATTTCGCAAAATCTAGGTTTGACGCAAGGCAATTATTGACGAGTTTTGGACTGTTTTACCGTTAGTGGACGAAGTGGTGTTTGTGTGACGCCCGATTCTTATCCAGTTTCTTTAGACTTGAAACTTGATAATAGCAACCTTAGCTTACCCCAGATTATAAAATATACAATAGCCTTGACGAGAGAGAGAATGAGGGGGGATGGGGACCAATTTATAGTACCGGTTGCTCAAAAGTCTTTTTTTTTACCGCTAAGGTTACTTTATTAGGAAGTTTGATTTTTTTTTTTAATTGTTGCTAAGGAAGGTCAAAGAATTTAATAATATTTCAACAGAGCAAAATATTCTTTAGATAAAGAGATGCAGCAACAAATGTAGGTACACAGGTTACACATACATTCTATATCCGACTCCAAGGGTCCAAGGCAAAAATACATTTTATACGATTTGTTTGAAACGAGAGAGTGAAAGTGTTTGTGGGGGCTGTAATTTTGTAAATCTTTGTGTAGTGGTTTGATCGAATCAATTGTTACAAATGCCGTTTAACCAAAAAAAAAGTTTAAATCTTCTAAAACCCAAAAAAAAATTGGAATTTCTCCTCAATATTTTTGTACCATCCGCACGTCCCCCGCCATAACCACAATTTAAAATAAAAAGATCCACACAATTTAAACAATGGATCTCCCAACATTTTTGTAAGTGAAAATAACCGCAAGATGAGCACATTACTACAGATGAACTTCATTAGAGATACCATGGCTTGCTTAATCGAAGCATATATCCCAGAGAATTTCATTGAGTTTGATGTGATTTCAAAAAGAAAATGATGTGTGTGAAATGAAACTAAATTCTTTTGTCTTGAGAAAATTGACAAATCTGGGTCAATAATCCGGATTTTTTTTTTTTATTTGCTTTTTATTTCTTTTATTTTTTATGTAAAGTTTATTTTTGATTTTCTTTTTTTTTTACATTTTTTTATTTTTTAAAAATAATTAAAAAATCAAAAACTGTTAATTAAAATTTAAAATTAAATTAAAAAATACAAAAGGAGTTTTCATTTCCTATTATTAATTATTGTTGTAAACGGTTAATGCCTCTTTTTATTTATTTAACAAGTTCTTTTCCCCCCCTTATTTATTGCTTAGTTCCTTTGTTTCCAAATATAAATATAAATATATATATATATTGCCATCATTCCTGTCATTTGGTCACTGTCACGCAAATCTACCTGTCACTACTTAATCATTAGCATTCCAATTTAGAACCCCTTTTTTAAAATTTAAAGTGTTTTTTTTTTGGTTCCCTTTAAGTATTTGTATTTAAAATAAATTTTATTGGCATTTAATCGTTTTTTTTACAACCAAATCTTTACAACCAACAACTACTATTTAATACACCAATTATACTACTACTACTATTGCTATCAAGTTAACTTCATTCTCATATTTAAATGATTGAATTGCTATAGTCTTCCATCAATACATATAATAATAATATTACAAAGGCAATGCTATTAATTAATAGAAACAAAGACAACAACACTAAAGTAAACACCAACGCAACACCATTTCCTACCACTTGCAACGCAACATCACCAACTATGAAGAAGAAGGGTGCTATCACCCCCTTATCAGCAGGACCTTCCTCATCCCCAGAACATAAGAAACATAAGTTCAAAATACTGGGATTATTCAAGAAGAATAGGAACTATGAGGGTGCATCCTCATCATCATCATCTACCACTGCAATTCCAACATCTACCGAGAATATCATCGACGACATTAATTTAGATCACCACCACTTGACAATAATCCCAAGCATAGATGAACATCAAGAACAACCACAACAACAACAACTTACTTCTGCACAATCTGTAAATACTCATCGGAATAGTGTTGCCTCATCTATATATAGCAACCATCATAATAATCACAACCAATTACATCCCCTTTATCAACACAATCCCAGTCAATACACCACTCTTGTCAATGATCAAGAACGTTATACATCATTCACATCTGAATGCATTTCCTTACAAAATAGTGAAATGACTGCTACTTCAAACATTGAGGAAGATAGTATTGGAGAATCAAAACCACGTCCAAAGAAGAATCTTCGTAGTTTATTAAGACTTGGTTCATTCTCCGGTAATATCGAGTCAACTAATCCTCATCATCCTTACTCCATTGAGATTGTCAATGAATCATGTCATGAAGATGATGATGCTGAAGTTCCTAATCAAGATGACGATCTTACCTGTCTTTCCGACCTGGAATCAGACTTGAACTTTGATCCTAAAAGTGAAGAAACTCAAGTCGATTATAAATTTGGAGGTTATCATCCAGTATCAAAAGGTGAAGTATATTATTCCCAGAAATTCCCTAATCGTGAATATATAATCTTACGGAAATTAGGTTGGGGTCATTTCTCAACTGTTTGGTTGGCCAAATCAAGATTTAATTTTGAGTCCATAGATTCGACATCAACAACATTGGCTGATGTAGACACTCGAGAATATTATGTTGCCATGAAGTTTGTTAAATCAAATAGACATTATCTGGAAGCAGCTGAAGATGAGATTCGTATTATGAAAACTTTGTGTGATCCAATTGCTAATGCTGATCATTTACCTAATGGTTATCAATACTTTGACGGCAAAGATCCAACTCAACATCCTGGTTATAAACATATTATGAAATTATTGGATGATTTTCAAATTGAAGGTCCTCATGGAAATCATATTTGTATGGTATTTGAAATCTTGGGTGAGAATATTTTGAATTTAATTTATAAATATAAGAAATTCTATAGAAGTGTTCATGATGTAATTAAAGAAAAGAAAGAAGGAAGTGATGAAGAAGTCAATGCGGTTAATGATGGGAAGTTTATGAAATGGGATACCAAGGCCATCAAGAAGAATACCAAATCAATGTTGAGTTTACGTTTGAAGACAAAATCGAAATCCAAAAGCAACAGCACTGATATCTCATCATCCTCATCTCTTTCATCTACCATTGCTTCTCCTACTGAGATGATGAACATCCATACTGAAGACACCTATTCAACCACCAGCACTGCTATCACCAGTGATTCATGGCTAGAAGAATCAGTATCTAAACATCTTAGATCATTACCCCGGGAATCATTAGTATCACTCATGTCAAAGTCACAAAGATGTGGTGGTATTCCACTTTTGCATGTGCGTCAAATTATGCGTCAAATCTTATTGGCTATGGATTATATGCATCATTGTGGAGTTATTCATACCGATCTTAAACCAGAAAATATCTTACTTGAAATCAAGGATATTAATAAGATCATCAAGAGTATTGAAATGGAAAAATTATCCAAATTAAGATCTTCACTTCGGAAAACCGGGTCTTTCAAACAAACCACCACATCATCATCATCTTGTTCTGTCGGTATGAGAATGTCTACTTCAAGAAACTTATCTACTACTTCCAATCCATCCAGATCTTCATCAATGTGTTATTACAAACGTTCAAAGAATTCCGTTTGTGGGACAAATGATTGTCCAATCAGAAGTTCAAAACCATTTGGATTCGGGATTAGTTCGGAAGTATTTTTCAAGGATGTTAATTTCCAAGGAGGAAGGGGAGGAAGTAGTAGTAGTAGAAGAAGACGTTCTTCAACAACTTCAACATCAACCAGATCATCCACCTCTCCAGCTTCTAGAAGAAATAGTTCTCGAGATCTGGTTGACAACAATGGGGAAATTTCAATCAAGATTGCTGATTTGGGAAATGCAACATTCACCGATCATCATTTTACAAATCTGATCCAAACTCGCCAATACCGTTCCCCGGAAATATTATTAAGATATAAGAGTTGGGGTAGTTCTACTGATGTTTGGAGTATTGGATGTATTTTGTTTGAACTTATCACGGGTGATTTCTTGTTTGATCCTCATGAAGGTGGGAAATATTTCGAAAGAGATGAAGATCATTTAGCTCAAATTGTTGAATTAATTGGAGAATTCCCCAGTGATGAATATTTGGTTAAATGTAAAAATGTTACTAAATATTTCAAAATGAATAAACGAGGTGAGATTGGGTTTAGACATATAGATAAATTGAAATATTGGGGTTTACAAGATGTTTTAATTGAAAAGTATGGTTTTGAAGCTGATGACGTTGAAGTTAAATTGATTTCGGATTTTATTTTGAAATGTTTGAAATTTGATTTGAATGAAAGATATGATTGTAGAAGTTTATTATCTCATCCTTGGTTGAAATATAATCAAGATGAAGTTTATGATATGGATTTAGAAGCGTTGGAATCTGAAATGGCTAATTTGCCAAATTTGCATGATGACATTCCGGGATATACCTGTGAATGCAAAGTTTAGGTTTTTTTTATTTTTAATTCTTATAATTTTATGGTGATGGGAAAGAGAGCATTATTTTTTTAGTTCAGGTTGTGTTTATTTTATTTATTTTAACGGGCATTATTATTATCATTTTTAGGTCTCTATATTTATTATTATAGTTAGTCTTTATGTAATTATAAATTTATGATTCTTGAGACTTGAATAAGTAATTGATTCAGATTCCGAAAGGTCAAGATTAGAATCGTAGTCTGAATCAATAGTTGGATCTCTTGTAAGTTTTATTTTAGCCTTTGGAGTTGTTTGTTCCTCTTCATCATCTGAGGAGCCTACTTGGTCTGACGACTTCTGATGATCATCGTCGCCCAGTGATTCCTCCTTTTCTTCCTTGGTAGATGGATGTACTTGAGGGAAAGATTCATTGACAGTTCCTGTTTCGGCAACTGGCAGTTCATTCTTTGTCGCTACCGTCCTTCCTCTACCTCGTACATCATACTTTGACATCATCTTAAACCCGCCATCCTCATCTTCCTGACCACTCTCATCCTCTTCATCATAGTTCAAACTCACTTTTGCCTTCTTAATAACCCGTCCTCTGTCCTCCCGTATTTCCGGATTTCCTTCTTGTCTCTTTTCCATATCCAAGTCATCGAAAAATGGAATAACAATCTCTCCACTGACAACCAGAACCGGGAATAACGGATCCCCATTCTCATCAACCTCCACGTCAGCAATTTTACGAATAGTATACCAATCTTCACTCACAACACGACCGAAAGGCGTATATCCATGTTTAACCCCGTTCCATTCCGGGGTGTCAGATAGGAGAATCTGAAACCCATCCACTGAATTCTTGTTTTCATCTTGAGAATGTAGGGCAACGATCGTACCTCGTTTGAATTTGATTCTTGGGTGATATTCTTTAGATATGTCATATTTGGTAACTGAATTTATTAGTTCGATATAGTTGTTTCCATTATTGGGTGAGAATTGGAGGTTGGTGTAGTTGTGGTTAAGAATGTGGGACATGAATGCTCGAGTGGTGATAGGAAACTCTTTGGCGAAGAGTGAGATATTGATTGAGCCCTTGGTGGTTTGGATGAGTGCTTTGGCTGTTGGACTAGGTTCTAGAGACATTTGAAGGAGTGTTGGGTTTATTCTTAGGGTGGGTGGTACTGTAAAAGAGACTAATGGATTTTTGAGATGTTTTGCGATGACGTAAATAATAGTCGTACACAAACTTCGCAGTGGTTGAACTTTTATTTGGCGCCAACTTTTATCCCATTAGACAATACAAAATCAAATCGTATGTCTTCTGTAGTTATTATAAGTATCTTTCTATATAAGATTTATGGAAGTGGTTATTAATAAGCATGGGTGTGAAACAAGTATGATAGAATAAAAACCAGAGTCAAATCTGAGGTCTATTGAGCTGTACATAAGTAGATACTGGAAACACTCAATCTTAAAAAACAAATTAATTTATTAATTACATTCATTACTGTTTAATAATTTTTCCTTAGAGGAAATGTAAATTAAATTAATTTAGTCATAATATTTAGATATGTTACAGTTATTGAGAATTTTGTCTTATGAAAGAAACATTAGAACAGGTGACATGATTATTTGAAAATTATGAGTCAATTAAATTGGAAGTTTAATTGACGGTGCTCTTTAATGAAAAAGTATTTATACGTAAATATATCAATTAAAATATATTGTAAGTCTAAAATCAAAATTGCAATAACATTTTAATAATCAAATAGCCATCAATGGAATACTCAGAGATAATAGTATCAAAACTTTTACTACTTCCAATGGAAGTTCTAGAACTCACATTTAGTTATATCCCTACTAAGAGTTTGTTACATTATGGAGGTATAGAAATCATTTCAGATTTGGCTTCTAAAACATTAATGGAACGAAACGTAGAGGTTATTATTACATGGCCAACAAGTATTCAAATACACAATGATTGGGACACTGAAGCAGGTGGTGATGAAATAATGTTGAAACCGAGAACTCTTCATCTCCGTGAAGATCGCAATTCCTTAAAATTTACAACAGAATTTTTTGAAGAATGCATTGAGATCATGAACGGTTTTCCAAATTGGAAACCGAATTTGACTGTACATGGATCTGATTATCTAATGTATATCTATGGCAAAAAACCGAACTTCTTCAAACGGTTTAATAATTTGACGTTGCTTCAGACTAATCAAGATGATTTGACGGGAGTTCTCGCTGATTTCCCATATTCTATATACTGCATGGAAGTATATAAAGGCCTTCCAGTTAGTAAGTTACCCGAATCTATTCACGAGTTGAGAATAAAACCCGAGCTTGGTTTGAGAGAGTTAAGATTAGAGAATATCGAGAAATTGCAGGACATCGAATTATCGGAACTAGACTTCACATCTTCTATTGTTGAAGTGAATTGAAGTATTTACCAAGGGGATTAAAATTTTTGAATGTAACCTTGGCTTTAAATCGTTCTGCATTCAAACCTAGGCTTCCAACATCGTTAGAACGACTTTCTGTTGGATTTTCGAGCCCACAAGCCATTCATCGAAACAGAATTCTAACCAGATTTAATGTTTCTAAACTTGAAAACTTAACTAATTTGAAACTACTGGACTTCTGCCTGCCCACATTAAATGCTTTGAAGGCTCCAAAACAAATCAAAGTATTGGAAATCGAATCCCGGGAGTTAGTTTCATTGGATGGTATTCAAGAATACAAGCAACTTAAAGACCTAAAGCTAACAGTCTTTCATGTAGATGCTGAACAAATCTTGAATTGTCCATTGCCCAATTCCATAACAAGCCTATGTTTTGAATGGTTCTATCGATCATTCGAACCATTCAAAATTGCAACCGCCATCAGAAGACTTGAGACAGGACAAGGGATTAAGCCCATCCGATTACCTCCAAACTTACGAGTACTTCATGTTCATAGTGCCCAACTTTGTCCTCAAAACTGGATTTTTCCTACTTCATTACGAGTTCTTATATTAAACGTTCCCATAATACCTCCACATCTTCAACTTCCTCCAAATTTGATACTTCTTGATATACATGGATACCTGACAACTAGTCTCCCCGATCCGTTACCCAAACCGCTTGTGAGAATCCGTACCTCGTTGCTACCCGCAAATAATGATTCGCTACTGAAGTTAGCTAATTTGACTCATGTTGACTTTGATTTCGAAAAGCAACCAATAGCTTCATTTGACTGGAAGTTACCGAAAAACTTGAGAAGATTGATTTTAAAATATGATCGGCTAAGATCTTTGAAAACAGATGTACCAAATCTAAGAGTAGTTGATTTGACCTTAAATTCTTTGTCAATGTTTGAAGAGCTTCAATTGCCTGACTCCGTTTTGAAATTGAAATTAATTTTTTGTTGGAGAACTAGGAATCGATATTCGTTAGAATTTCTGATTACAGATCGTCATAAGTTTCCAAAGAATTTACGACATCTTGAACTTCCGGATGGAATTGTGGATACACTAACATTAATCAATTTGAATTTGAAAACCTTCCATGATTTACAATTTATTAACCTATCCGGGAACAAAATCACGGAAATTAATTGTGGCACATTTCCAAGTTCCACCAAGACGCTAATTCTTCTGGCTAATGAGTTGAAAAGGGTTCACGCCAATGTATTCAAGGAGCTACCAAACTTAAAATGTCTTGAGTTGGAGCAGAATAAATTAGGTAAAAACTCTCAATTCCGCCAACGAATTGAGTTTCCTGACTCTTTGGAATCCTTAGATTTATCACAAAATTATTTGAGAAATTTTGATGATTTAATATTTCCTCCAAATCCAAGACTTAAATGGATACAATTGTCCCACAACCAATTTCAAACAAATGAAGAAGAAATTCGAAACACATTGAAACAAAAATTAAAGGGTGCTGTTATATATGTATACTAGGAAAAGTGGAACCCAATATCTCGAATTCTAATTTATGACCTGGAGACCCATAGTAGTTTATGTTCTTCTTCTTTCAAAGGGTGTGAAGAAATAGTTAGTTCTGCCTCGTGATCATACCTGACGCAAAAGAGATGGTCCTTATTTCTTCATATAGAATAAATATCAATAGATTAGAAACTTGTCGTAGCACACATGAGCTGGGGCTAATTGCTTCTGCTTATGATCATGCGTGACATGTAAGCCTTCAATGATATGATTAAATAGACCTGCACCGGGATTAATAGCGTTGTAGCCTCGTCCTTGCCGTCTCAGGTTGACTCTCACGGTCCACCTACCCCTGCCAGTGGCCTTGGGGCTACTGTGGCTGACATCTACGCCATTAAAACCCCTCGTTCGCCATTCAAATCGCCCAGTATCTTAGAAGATCACTAAAGTATCTATACCTGTTAGATAATACTATACTAGTTAAATAAGTGGTTTAAGCAAGAAGATGTCCGGGTAACCCAAAGAAAAAATTACCCAATGAATGATTGAGAAATTTTGATTTTTCATAACTATTTTTTTTTTTCAGTATGAGCTTAAATAAGTAGAGTATCAAGCAACAATAGTAGTAATAGTTACAATTACCATACAAGGATAGCTATAATTGATATTACCCATCAAGTGTCAACATATAAAACACCACAAACCAATCAATAACCCAATTTTCATTTTGCATTTAAATTTTCACTAATCACACATATTAAAACACATATAATTAAACAATCATGTTGAGAATAACTTCAAAGGCGATCACTAAACCAATTGTATACACCACTTCCGTGCGTTTCAACTATACTGTTGCCAACAGTGTATCCAGACCAGAAGGTAAACAATTAAACAAGAAGGATTTACAAGAAAATGCATTTGCCAGACAAGCACCAAATAGAGATGTAACTTGGTCTCCTAATCAAGAATCAAGAATTGATGTAATTAGTAAATATCCATATAGATTTGTTCAACATGATTTAGAACAACAACCTAGACCATATGCTGCTATTGATTTGATTGCAAAAGAACCAGTTAGATATTTATCTCATCATGATGGAAATATCGCTGTTTGTGATGGAAATAAAGGTAGTACTTTACAAGGTCATCCAAAAGTATTTATTAATTTAGATCAACCAAAGCCTGCTACTTGTGGTTATTGTGGGTTGAGATATGCAAAGGAAGAATTCAAGGAACTTATTGAAGGTAAAGAAAACGCATAAGTGAGTGAGAGTGAATGCGAGAGAGAGCAGCAGCAGCAGCAGCAGCGGCAACAGCAACAGGAGGAGGTGGCGGTGGTGGAGGAGGAGGAGGAGGAGGAGGTGTGATGATGATGATGACTTGTCCCTTGACATGAATCACAATGTATATTTATCTATTTTATATTTTTCAATTTTTTTTTACATTATTATTATTTAATACACATAAACATAACGATGGGTTTTTGGAAGTTTCATTAAATGTGGGAGAAGGATATGAAGTAGGAGCTTGTTTTTATTGATTCTAGTTAGCTATGAGAGGCGTTCTGAGGAATTCATTAGACAGCGTTCATAATATACTTCTTTTCTAAAAATAATGGAAGTTCCAATGAGTAATTTAATAATCAGCATCTCCTTTCTGAAAATTTCTAGACCCACATCCCTCATTTGCTAATTAAAGTTCAAATAGCGATTATCGGAATTTGTGTTTCAAGGAATCTTGAATTGACCCGCCCATCAAGTAAATTCATGCAACTTGAATATAACAGAGAAGTTCTAGTACTTTCTTTTATTAGCCCCGGATAAATTTAAGGTTTTTATTATTATCTGTCAAAAACTTCTTTCCGCTCCCCCTCCGCTGCCCCCCCACCAAATAAAGAATTCTATTTTTTTTATCACTTCCTTCTTTTTTTCATTCATTTATCATAATCTTTCTTTCTTCTCTTCTTCTTTCTTCTTCTTGTTACTTCTTCTTCTTCCTCCTTCCCACAGACTATGCTTACCACAATGCTTAAAACTGATAGGAAAGGTTCAGGTACATTCACCACCACAATTCTACCCCAACAACAGAAACCCCAACACTCTCCATCACCACCACCCCCATTAGATCACAGCCAAGACACTTCTTCTGCTTCCCCCGGACAAAAACCTACATTTTCCGATCTAGTCCGAGGAGTCGGCTCCGGACTTTGGTATTCTGGTAGACATTTATTAAATTCCTATGTGATTATACCTGGGGGGATATTGACATTATTGGTGATCTTATATGGATTGGATAAATTATTAGTCAATGTATTTAAAGTGACGTTTCCATGTAGTGTATTGGGATTATTAATAAATTTGGTATTTTTATGTGGATTAAGTATATTTGCCAATATGAATGAAGGTAAGAATGAAAGTAAATTAAAGAAACGAATTAGACTGGGAGCTGGTTGGATCTTGACGAATTATTTGACTTTGATTAAACCTTCTATGAATTTTACCTTGAAATGGATTAATGTATTTTTTATACCTTCATTTATCGTGTTGCCTTTGAGTGCTCCAATTACATTTATAGAATGTTTAAAGATTGCTGGAGTTTTTGTATTTGGATTGATTTTATTGATTATTGCTGATGTTTGGTTTATTAGATTACTTCGGTTTGGATTTGGGAAAGTTGGGTATGTGGTTGAAGAAAAGGAAGATGAGAATGAGAATGAAGATGAAGAGATTGATAGTATGAGAGCTAATATTCTGGACACAGAAACTTTGGATAATACATCGATGTTTTCAACAATAATGAGGGATGATATAACTACTATTGATGTTTCTAATCTTCGTTCAGTCAAGACTGAACCTACTAAGAAAACCAGTAATGTTATTGTGAATGATAATCCATATGTTTCGAAACCGATATTTAAATCAATGACTATTACGAATTCAGTTGATGTTCCTCCCCCATTATATCATAGACCATATCATGTTGATTCTGGTATTCAATTCCATGGAGCATATTCTTCTTCTCCCATGATTGCTAATCAATCATCTGAAGAATCTTCAATTGCAATCAAATCGAATGAAGTTGTTACCCATACAGAATCAGAAGAAGATGATTATGAAGATGAAGATGAAAAACAACAACAACGAGACCACCACAACCAAACAATGACTAATCATTCCAAAAGAATTACTGTTTTTGTAACAAAATATATTGATTGGATTTTTTATATTTTAGTATTTATTATTTCATTACCATTTTATTACATCCCATCAATTCATAATCATTTAGCTTATCATCTCGGAATAACCATAATCTCCTACTATATCGCCCTAATCATCCCCCAAAAATACCCCATCACCAAGAAATTCGCTCATCCAATCCTAATCCTGACCACCCTAATTTTATTCATTTGTTTCATTGGATCCCTAATCTATTATCATGGACAACCACGAGGATTCTTGATTGATTTAAGATATTACAAAACCGGAAGAACATATCTAACTCTCTTTGATAAAGAATATCGATCCATCTGGCCCGGGTTTGGTGATGTATTATGTTCGTTAATGGATGTATCTATCGTTTCATTATCCTTACCGATGTTTACCCATCGTCGTGATTTTATCAAGAATTTCTGGTTTTTGATGCCAACTTTGCTCATATCAGTTGCTTTAACATTTTTTTTATATCCGATTACTTGTCATGCTATTGGGATTGAAGCACAACGGTCGATTGGATTCATTGGAAGATCAGTCACGTTGGCATTAGGTACGCCCTTGATTCAATCTTTAGGTGGGTCGGTCTCATTGATGGCGGTTTCAACTGTCTTATCGGGGATTGTTGGGGTTTTGATCAATGAACCGGTATTTAGATTGTTGAGAGTTGATAAGAATGATTATGTGACAAGGGGGGTTACATTGGGGATTAATTCTGGGGCAATTGGGACGGCATATTTGTTGAATGTTGATCCTAGGGCTGCTAGTATTAGTTCGTTGAGTTTTGGTGTGTTTGGGACAATTATGGTTATTATGGCTTCTATTGTTGGTGTTAGAGAATTGATTAGAAGTTGGGTAGGATTGGGTTGAATTGAAAGTTGCAGCCAATTGAATTAATTTTGCAGTCAAACAAAAAAAAGTAAGACGCGTATTTTTTATTTATTTATTTTATTTATTTTTTATTTTGAAAAATTTAAATTTAAATTTTTTATTTTATTTCTTTTATGGTTTAAATAGAAAAAGACACATATTTATTTATTTACTTATACCTTTTATTTTATTTTAATATACGATAAAAGGATAATCAGACAGTCAGACAGTCAGACAGACAGAGATACACAGACAGAGGAATATGACAGACAATAATATGTATATAGATAAAGATAGTAAAGTAATCCTTCTACCAACCATATCTAACAACAACCAATCAGAATTCAAGATTGTTCAATTACCAACATCAAATAATTTACAACAATTAAAATCATATCTAATTAATCAATCTACAATCTATGAACTCAATGAAATAAAAGGACAAGAATCAAATAAAATAAAACTTAAAACCGGAGATGCTGTTAAATCATTCATAATCGAATCACCATCCAATGATAATGATGGGGCAATTATTCAATCTAGTAAAATGATAATCTCATCAAAATTCAATATTATTTATTTATTAATCTCAATCATATATTCTTCTTGGAAAGGAGAATCATCAAATTTCATCACGATTGATGATTTGATGGATAGATTATCTTGGGCTCATGAATTACCAATAGAAATATTCAATCAGGCCATACCGATGATTTGTGATGATATTATTGAAGGTGGAGAAGTATTTTATAAATTTTCAAAAGTGAAAGCATTTGAGTTTGTTAATGATCATATTGTAAAACTTAAGGAATATTATTTTGCTGGTAGTGCGAATAATGAGAATACAATAATTGGAAAGATAAAGGGGGAATTAAGTGATCCAACTATTGCCGGTGCAACAGTGAAAGATGATGGAGGAAAGGGTGTTAGAGTATTGGAAGCATTGACATTATCATATGCTATTGATTATATTTGTGATTCATATATTGAAAATCTGATAAAATTTAAACAAGAACTTATAGATCATTTCAAATATGATTTCAATGAAATGAATGAATATTTAGATCAATTAAAACAAAAGAAGAAGGATATTGCCATTGTAGAATCTAATATGAATGAACTTATAACAACTTCGGTTAAAAATAATAAAAAGAAGAATGAAACTACCAAGAAAGTCACCAAAACTAAAAAGAAAGAAGTCAAGAAAGTTGCAGTTGGGAAAGGTGCTCTTGATGGATTCTTTAAAAGAACATAAATAATAAAGTAAACATATATTTTTATACAAGATAATAAAATGATAGAAGGTAATGTTCCTACTTCTTATTGACTTGGCTATTATTGGCTTGGTTTAAGTTATTATAAATAGATAATCCTTGAGCCATAAAACTACTTATATCACCAACATTTGAAGGAATAACCACAGTATTTGATTCTTTAGCCAATTTCCCAAATTCTTTAATATATTCTTGAGCAACTTGTAAACTAACCGCCAGATCACCACCTGGAGTCTCTTTAATAGCAACAGCAATACGTTTTAATCCTTCAGCAGTAGCCTCTGCTTTCAATTTAATCGACTCAGCTTCCCCCATGGCTTGATTGATTTGTTCTTGTTTATTAGCTTCTGAAGCCAAAATAATCCCTTGTTTCTCCCCCTCACTGATATTAATCTTTGATTGTCTTTGACCTTCCGATTCCAAAATCTCGGCTCTTTTAGATCTTTCAGCACTGACTTGTCTATGCATAGCATCTAATACATTCTGAGGAGGATGAATATCTCTAATTTCATATCTTAAACATTCAACTCCCCAATTATCTCTAGCAGCCCCATTAATCACATGATTAATATTATTATTCAATTGTTGACGTTCCTTCAAAACATGATCCAAAGTCATACTACCAATTTCTGATCTCATGGTAGTTTGAGCTAATTGACTAATAGCAAATTTAAAATCTTCAACTCCATAACTGGCCTTATATGGATCAATTACTTTTACATACAAAATACCATCAAGTTCAAGACTAACATTATCGGAAGTAATTGCATTTTGCGATGGAATTTCAATAGCAGCTTCCTTAAGGGATTGGACATAGGTTATTTTATCCAAGAATGGAATAAGGATGGCTAATCCTGGAGGTAAGACACGATGGAATTTACCCATTCGTTCAACGATCCATGCTTGTTGTTGAGGGACGAAGCGGACTATGGTGTTGGCTGGGAGGGATTGACGTTGGAAGAAGTTGAGGGATGGTGTGTTGGGTCTTGCCCCGGGGAAACCTACACCATTGGTGAATCCTCGAGTGAGGAATGGTGTGATTGACTTTGTTGATGCTGCTGATGACTTGACTAATTGTTTGGTTACTATTCTTGATAGCATTGCAGTGGGGGTTCTAGTAATGATATTCTTATGTTAAAATATATAATTGGTTCGTCTTTTTTCAACAAGTGTAAGAGTGAGTGCAGTGAATATGATGAAAAATTAAGAATTTTTTTGCCTTCCAATCTTTAATTGTTTAATTGAAACAATCAAATTAAAGAAAATCTTTTTTCTGCTGCTCTTTTATTAAATAGGTTCATCCCATCTCTCATACACATCATCATCTCTCTCTTTCTCAATTAATTTTTCACAATCAAATTAAACCTCATCTCTCTCTCTTACTGATACTCTATTACTACCACCACTCCCTTGGTATCTATATATCCAAGCTTTGCTAAATAGAAACACACCAATTGTACATATATAACAACCAAACCTAACCAATGTCACGAAAAATAGAAATATCAACCAATCAAACATCATACATCCACCACACCCTCCTCTCCGGTCTTCGACTCACAAATCGTCCGCATGATTCCATTCGAGACATCGAAATTAACCTATCAACCACAGAATACGGATATGTAGAAATAAATTGGGGCTTAACCAAACTTGCCGTCCGTGTTAGTGCAAAAATCGTCCAACCATATGAAGATAGACCATTTGAAGGAATATTCACCATCAATAATGAAATCAACCCCTTAATATCCGGTGGAGCAGGTGGTGGTTCTGCTAGTAGTTCTGCCAGAAATGATGAGATTATGGTGAATCGTATTATCGAAAAAGCTATCCGAAGATCAAATTCTCTTGATTTAGAAAGTTTATGTATAATTGCTGGAGAAAAAGTTTGGGAAATTATGGTTGATTTGAATTTTTTGAATTATGATGGGAATTTAATTGATGTTGGATGTTTTGGAGTGATGCTTGCTTTACATCATTTCAAAAAACCGGATGTATCGATTATGAATGGGGGTGAGAGGGTGATTGTCCATTCTGTTGATGAAAGAATGCCGGTTTCTTTATCGATTTTACATATTCCGATTTGTTTAACTTGGTCATTTTATAATGTCCATCAAGATAAAGAACTGAATATTAAGGGGGGTGATGATGATGAAGCAGGGGAGGTTTGTTTATTGGATGCTGATTTATTGGAAGAATTGAATAGAGATGGTAGTCTTGTGATTACTTTGAATAAAAATCGAGAATTAATTCAATTAAGTAAAAATGGTGGGATTGCAATTAATGCTGAACAATTATTAGAACTTTCATTTAAATCAATGAAAATTGTTGATGAATTATCAGAATTAATTAAATCAAAGATCAAGGAACATGAGGAATTAAGATATAAACTTGAGAATTTTAAATTACTTGAAGCAAGTGCTGATAGATAGATAGAGATAGCTTATTCTTTTGCATGTATTAATAACAAATACCCTTCTTATAGGCCGTCTCCTAAATCAGCCAATATAAATGCTCTGCTTGTACTATACATTTTCCTAGTTATACTCCCACGAAAACCTGGGGGGGATTTACTACTACACTACCATTCTGAGCCTTGTTTAACTAAAGAATAGAAACTTCACTTTAAATATTAAAAACGATTATATTAATTAAATTAAATACTATTAAATTATATGTTGTTGTGTAAATATGTATACTGTACAATGCAAAAAACATGATTTCATTACATCCATAATCCTTCTCCTTCTTCATTATCTCTTCTCCTCTCAAGTAGGTCATTGCCATAGGCAAACGACATTTATCTGCCTTTGGCAGATTAATTTCAGCTGCCATGCTGCAGCATCTAGGGCTGAAGCAAGCCATTATTTACATAAATCCGCCTCTTGGCGGATTACTGCTGCGCAGCTATACTATATGGTCATTCTTTCTCATGACATAAATCTCCGCCTCATCATCTCCACTAGAACTTCCACTTCCATTCACGCTAACCAATGTGTCCACCGATGAATTTCTGCCATTATTCGCATCATTTATTATTATTTGTTCAGGAGATGGGTTAGCAACAGGTGCTGTAGTCCCGATTGGGCTCGGTATTGTTGAATTGTCAACTATTGTTGTATCATCATCTGCTATTTTTTCTAAGATGTTGAATTCAATTGGAAGATTTGAATCTTTTCTTGATCTTCTCTTGACTGATTTATTATAGTTTAAAAGATTTAAAATCTTGTTTTTCTTCTTTGGAGGTTGTTGTTGGGATTCTTCATCACCTGGAAGTTGAGTATAACTCTTCGATGATGAACTCAGGGAGAAATATGACATGATGAAATTATATGCCTGATCAAGTTTAATTAATCTTGTAAATTGAACAAAAATATTAGTAATCTTATTAAGTAACTTCTTAAAACTTGAAGAAGTTACCCAAAGATAAAACAAATATTCAATCAAAAAAACCACCGCCGCAATTAAAAACCCTCCAATAACTGCCAATACCAAATGATTAGCTAATCCTTTTACAAACTTAGCATCATGCATATGCCAAGATGACCCGGGAGCAATTGAAAAAAACGAATATTTATTACCCTTATAATCCTCTGGCATTAAGATTCTAACTTTCCCAGCCTCAGGTACACCCCATCTCTTATATTGTTTCCACATTACCGATAAAAACAAAGGTCCAGTTGAAAACATAATGGTTATATAAGGAACCAACCAATTCCGTTGATATTTTTGTAAATCTTCAATCACTTTTTTAAAAAATGGATGAGATGGAACGGCACCCATAACATCATTAGAAATCCCCGTTGGTAATGTCTTACGTACAAATGCTGGTACGGTCAACAAAGCATCTAATTTCCGTTGACACCCATCATCGAGATCAATATAAATCCCACCATGATGATCCAAGACGAAATATCTTATAGCATCTGCTCGTTGGATAGGATAGGGGTAAGAATCCCATGTTTTAAGAAACCAAGGATAATGTTCCTGAATGAATTTTCGGGCAGTATCATCTGTCCATAACATATATTGATAATCTTGTTTATGTAAATCAATACATGCTTGTTGACCAGCTTTCCAAATTTCTGGAATATCATTGGTTTTATAAGTTTGATGAATGATTTTAGGAATAAGTTGTGGTTTATCTATTATATCATTTACTGGGTTTAATTCTACTTCTAATAAAGCATCACTAAATGAATCATCATAAAGAAGAGTAATTAAATCAAATGATAAATACGCTAGATATAATATAAGAATTATATGAGCCCATATAATATACTTTAGTTCTTTTCTCATTTCCTTTAGCTTTTGCTTCTGTTAGTTCTTTTACTCTTTAAACTGGTAAATACTTGTTGTTGTTGTTGTTGCTTATTGGTAGTTAGTTGTTGATAGTTTGTTGTTGTTATAATAATAGCAAAAACTAAAATGTCTGTTGTCTGGGGTAGTAAATAAAGTGAATGTCTGTCTGAATGGGTTTTATTTATAAAGGAAAAATGAAATTCTAAAGAGTGTGTTTTTTTAGAGTTTTATAATTACAGGATGGAATTGATGATTGTAGTTAGTTAGGGTGTAAAGTAAGTAAGGGAAGGGAAAAAAAAAAGGGGAAAATCTAAAAAAAAAATCTCTTATTTTTACACAACCCAGACAGAAAAAAGAAGTCTCAAAAATGAAATTTAAATTATGAAATGTCTGACTGTCTGGAAGGGCTTATATTTACACTTCTTTCTATTTTACTAGACTTATGACTATGCGGTATTTGTATTTGTATTTGTATTTGTAGCAATAGATGTGTTTTCTGCAACATGGTAATCCTTATAGATAGGATCTAATAGATAGAATATGTTGGTCAAGATGTGAATTAATTTTGCTGTGTTTTTTTTATGTTGTATAAATTATCACCGTTATTTATTATTATTATTTACGGTTCTATTACCCATACAATAAGACACGACATTTTTTGTTGCTCAAAATTTATAAACTTTATATATCACGCGTATATTTTCTTACTTAGTGAATCATTTTTTTTTGCAATTGGTGGATTATTTTTACCAAGGCTATGTTTTACAAGATCATAAGTTTTTTCTTTCTTACCAGGCTATGTACTTCAAAGCAACACATTGTTGTCTTTCTATCTCTCTTTTTAAACAATCAGAATTATCACAGGCTAAGGGTCGTCATCATTACTATAACATTGACGGTCATACTCTTAATGGTAAGTCATACGATTAAATTCAATTGCTTTCACACGTTTTTGTCCCACGGATCAATAAAAGTGGATGCCGGACAAAAGTTTGTTAGTTACCGAGAGACGAAAAATAAATAAAGTTCAAAAGGGAATAGGGGAATTTACAGATTATTCAGCCACTTTTTACAGGTTATGTAAATTACATGTATGATGACGTAATTAATTTATGAATCTTTCTATTTGACAGATTTTTTAATTAAAACTTACAAGACATACACATACACAGTAACCCATTTACTCCCACACACAAACTTACACATTTCCTATAACCATGTGATTTTAAAGAATCCTTTAAGTAACAACAGAAACTTTGTAAATTTATCCTCTCGTCTTATATTACAGTGTACTCATACCTAAGACTCTATTGTTTCAATTAATAGACTAATTTTTTTTTTTTACTAATTAAAAGAGGATCGCAACTCCTAATTAAAAAATAAAAATGATTGCTAAATTTATTATTTTTTTTTCCTTGTCTCTATTTTTATCTTTTTTTTGCAGCAACTTGAATGAGTAAGCGAGGACATTGATGAAAATAAATGCTTCTCTGCCGCCAAATAAATTCGATAATGTAACCTGAGAGCGTTGATTGTTAAGTATGAACACTTTTGTATGACACATCAGGAAAAACTTCCTCTCGACGTAAAGAATAATATATATTGGTGCCAGCTGTGCGCCAGTTAATAACATAAAATGATGAAATATGCCACAGTCACTTTTGAAGATTTTCCGAATCCCTAGACCGATTATTATAGAATATACAGACTGTTTCTTGTGTATAGAATAAATATCAGGATGCAAGAGAGGATTTTTAGATTTTATCAATTTGATGTAAAATCCACTCCAGATTTCTACAAAAAATTGAACCAATCACATCGGTCAACACCATCTAATTATTTCTAATTATATCTGTAGTATATCTCTTAGTAAAGTCTTAGATTGTAATGCAATGGAGTATTTTTGTAAATGTCTTTTAATATAGAGTAAGTAACAAGAGAATCTACAAAAGCATAACTTTTTTTAAAAAATAATACATTCATATATATAGTACAATAAACACATATCAAACATAACTAACATATATACAAACATAAACCGAAACTAATATTAATAAGATATTAACATTGTAATAAAACATCATATATCACATATGATATATTAACCAAGAAGAAAGTCAAAATGAAAAAAACATAGGGGGGATCCAAGCCAACTAGTGAATATA